GGCGGTGACGTCATCTGCAGCCAATGGGGAGGGCGCGGCGCCGGCCCCGGGCCCCGGGGCAGCCGCTGCTGGCCCGCGCGCGCGGCCCCGTGGCAGCGCCCCCGCGGCAGCGCCCCCCGCAGGACGGGGAGCGCCCGCGAGCGTCCCGCGTCCGGCCACGGGAACGGGGCAGCGGCACCAGCCACCGGGGCCAGGAGAGCGTCAGCCCCGCTCCCGGAGCGCGGCCGCAGCGGGCACTGCCTGTCCGCCCCAGCCCCGCCGCAAGCGGCTCGGCAGGGAGCGAGCGGTGCCAGCCCGAGAGGATGCTGTTCAGGTGCTTTTCCAAACAGTCCGTCCCTGTCACAAACAAGCCCGCCCGAGGTACTCGGGAGGCAGAAAACCCGGCAACCACATCTCCTCGTGGGTCAGTCCGTCACGCATCAACCCACCAAGGCAGAGACAGGGAAAGGGGCATCTCCAGAATGATTCTTCCTACCAGTCCACCCTGACCGTGGGAGCACTGGAGAGTTTCACCTACAGCCCAGCATGCAAACGCTTTGAGCTGCAGGAGGAAGGGTGAAGTTGGAGCAGATAAGAATTAAGTCCACACTAAATACTTGGGGGAGCAGAAGAACTGTAATTTCTTCACACAAAAGCAGTAAATGACAGGGAAGGCGGGAGAGGCACCCCACACTGCCCAGAGACAGCCGGGACCGGACGCCCCTGCCTGCCTTACCCCCTGACTAAAGATAGATCCAGATGCTCCATGTTATGGAAACTCAGATAGAACCCAGCTTTGGCACATTGTCCAGTAAAGATCCTGAATGTTCAGATTAGACTGGACTCTCCCAGTGTAAAAAGGAAGGCAGAACAGGCTGGAGGACAAGATTTTAAGGATTTGTTACAAGGATAAGCATGAATCCCTTCCATTCTTTCTGTCAGAGGCTGACATGGGTGAAATAATGAGCTCTCACCCTTGCTACGTGAGCACTACAAGGTGAGAATTGATTTTCAAGCCACACGGATCAGCTCATCACACACACTAGGAGGGTATCTGGCAGCAGCACGGCATTTCTGCACCCCTTCTTTCCTCACTGTGCAATCTATTTACACATTTCCTGGTTCAGTAACCACATCTCATCATGTACCAGTCCACCACGTATCAATCCACCAAGTTAGAGACAGGGAAAGTGGCACCTCCAAAGCAATGCATCCTTCCATGTCCTTCCTAACCATGGGAGTGACAAAGCGTTTCACCTACAACCAGGAATGCCAACACTTTGAGCTACAGGAGGAAAGATGAAGTTAGAGCTGGTAAGAAGTTCTCAACATGATATTGAATCTAAATTAGTCCCCAAAGATTTTGGTTCTGGGATGTATGTGGATAATTAATTTTTCAACTGGCATTTTCAAGTTGTAACTTCCAATCCAACTGTGTCTATTGCAAAACAAAACAAAACCAAAAAATAAACAAACAAAAAAAAAGTATAAGTGCAGTAATATCATCATCCAGCAGCTCAGATTAAAAATAAAAAAAGAAAAAAAAACAGAGAGCAAGATTTTAGAAGCACTGAATACTTGATTTTTTTCTATTAATAGTTCTAAGGTAAACAGCAAGTCAAATCCTTTTCCTCACAGCCATTCTTTAAACAATCAGTTGTTTCTCCTAAATTTTCCTTGTAGGACAGCAACTTATCCAGCACAAACTCAGGCTTTTGGTTTCCAGTGTTGTGATACCACAGCAGGGCACCAGCTCCCAGCTCGCTGGGAAGGAAGGGGATGTGTGGGAAGGCTCTCACTTTTAAGTAACAGCTTCACCTCCAGCAATCTGCTCCCTCTGAGAGCAAATGTGGGGAAAGACTTTGAGCAATTAAGTCACAGAGTGACTTCACCCAGCAAAGACCACTGTCTGGAGGTATTATAAGTCCCCATGCTACCCAGCATCACTGCAAACCAGGCTTTAACAGTGCTGTGCAATTGCTGCATGAACAGCTGCCCTCCCCAGCGAGGGAGCGAACATGGAGAAATGCACTGGTCTCAGACTCCACAAACACTGGTCAGCTCCCCAGAGGTGCCACTGTGAGACACCACTGGAGCATTTCCATGCTCTCTATTCCTCTTTGTCCGAGGCTTGCTGAGGTTGGCACTGGGCTCACAGCAGAGGGGGGCAGCTTGTACTTCCCTCAAAACCTCCCTTTCAGGCCACACTTGGGCTTGGGGAAGGAGCTCCCCATGGGCTTGTGTTCAATTCACCGCCTGAAACTGTCCCTCCAACCAGGGCAGCTGGAAACCATGTTTGTGCATCTCCCAAAGCTAGATATATCCTAAGGCAAATATTTGCTAGAAAACACTTGGAATCATTGATTTAGCAACCTTTTACTTTCTGACCAAACTTCTCAGTACAGTACTAACAATGTGCCCCAAGAAAATGCTTTGTGACTTGCTTGAGGAGGAGCTGTCCTCACAGGAGAGCTGTGCAGAGCTTACTCACAGCAAGCAATGCTCCCTTCTGAAGGATACTTGGCCTTTGCCAAGTTTTCTTACAATATAAAGAGAGGCCAAGTGTTATTTTGTCTCATATTTTACTTAACTTTCTATTTTTCTAAGAATGTGGACTGTAAGTTGCTATTCCACCCCATTTTCAGAGGATTTCCTACACAACTTTACTGACTTCATGCTTAATACATTTTATTAGCCTATGACATAAGATTGGCCTTTTTCCTGCTCTCAGAAGCCACATCCCACTGTAACTTTTTTTCTGAGCATCTTCAATGAACAGCTTTCTAAATGTTTTTGCTCTCTGTAATTCAACACCCAAAGCAGACAAGACTTATCTATTCCCTGAAAACTAAACTTCTGTTTTCTGAAAAGCATACAAGAATTCTTACTATGGAAGCTGGCAGATCTTAGTTAAATTCCCACTTGCAGCAGTAGCAGCACATGGGATTTTGACATTTATTTTCCTCAAATGCTTTTGCCACCATGGTGCACTTGCTCAGACATTTGAAGAAAACCACAAGCAGACAAAGTGAAATCATCTCAGAATTGAAGCAAATCCTCACAAACTCTCACAGTATACTAATTGCATAAAATCCAATCAAACCCGTTCAACCTCACAGAAAGGGTAAAGATTGCTAAAAGAACATCTGAATATTTAACAGAAGTGAAAAAGAATCCATCAAAATTCTCGCCAACAACACAGACACCCCTTAAGTGCTCTCAAACTAAACATTTCCTTCTTATTGAAAGATTTCTTCCACATCAACCATTCTTCCACTCTACAATCAGGGACCTTTTATCTTGTTTAGGATTAGAAAAACACCCAGATCATAATTGCCTTCATCAACACAGCCATGTACAGCACCTGCCCTGCACCTAAGCAGAGAGGATGATGTGCTGTCCCATCCCCTGAACATTCAAATCTCTGGAGTCATGCCTGAAGAAAGGATTTCACCTGTTGTATGTATGACTGCAGAATGGGGCACTCCAATGTTGGCTGCTCTCTGGTTTTATTCTGGTTTTAGGGGCACAGTAACAACCAAAGCCAGGAGTTCACAGTAACAGGCTGTGTGTAAAGACAACAAAGGACAGATGCTTGTCCCCCCTGAGACTGTCATTTGAACAGAGCAATGCAAGTTCCCAATTTTACCAGCAGAAATGGGAAGCAAGAGGCTGAGTGACTTCTCTAAAGTGACACAACAGCTTACATGGTGGAGCAGCAAATTGGGAAACTGGGGAAAACAAAGGTGTTAGCCAGCACAGTATTTCAACTGCAAACCCGTAGCTCGCACTTCATCAGGTGTCACATGAACTGGCTAAAAGAAGTGTCCTTGGGGGCTAGGCTGAACTTCTATGTGTTCACTACTTAAGTTTTCCCATTTGTTTTTAAGCACTCTTTGATTCTTGTTAAGTTTTAATACATCACATGGTGCCTTTGTTTGTCCTTGTTAGAAATGTCAGTTCACTACACAGGTAAAGCTGAGAAACCATTGTTAGCCACTGTGTTAGCCTTTTGCAAGAAAAAGATAAGAAAAAGATATCCCTCTTCTGCCTTTCTTTTGGAAGCCTGTTTTAAAGGTGCCTTAGTAAAACACAAGCTTTCCTTTTAAGGGATTGTCTGGTACGAGAGGAAACAACCTGTTTTAGAAAAACAGTTCATCTTCTAAGCAAGGGGGTGGGATTGAAACTGTGCACAAAATGAATTTATAAGGAAAATCAGAGCCAGTAGTAAACATAAAGATGCATCCTGGTACTCCTGCTTGCTTTTTATGGCTTATCCTCAGTGGGGAAGCTGCTACAAAATGACCTAAGTGAGAAACTGAAATGCAACAGCTCTGGCACTGTAACTCTACGTGGATGTTTTTGTTGCACAGTTACCAGCCTGTGTGGGTTTGGTAAGGCACAGGTGATGCCAGGTGTCCCTTCCCTGGGGCACACCACAGGACAGTGAGGGCAAGGAGGTCATGGTGGTGAGCAGCATCCTTTAAAGAAAGCAACAACACAGGCAGCCAGACAGGTGAAGCCAGACCACATCTCCTGGCCATGCCTGCTCCAGTTCAGCTGTGGGCCACTGCTGTGGAACTGTGGTCAGATACTCACCCCACAGCCCTTGCAGACATCCTGGCCTTTCCCATACTTGGTGGCAGATGACAACTCAAGACCACCCTGCAAACACCTTGAGCTGCTGCAGATGGATGAGTTAGTTTGATGATTAGAGGACAATCCAACCTGGGAGAGTTTGCCTCCAGCACCCCCATCAGCAACCCCCTGACTCTTCTGCCCGCAGAGTGTGGGGATGGCTGCACATTGGGA